TAATACAAAAATTCACGGAGATTAGCAAGAAAGCCAAACAAAACGACAAAAAGGGAGGGGGGTACAATTTGAAACAGAGGGTCAAAATGCGCTTGTTCTGTGGCAAATCGATTGAAAGATCAGCACGCACAAACGAGTACGAGAGAACCTGCATATATGTGAGCTATCTGCCGGCTTGTAAGGTAATGACTGCTTTATTGATTTGTCACATGATTAACACAAGCTGCAACTCAGAAGAGATAGAGTGCAATACAGAGAGTGAATGAAATACATATGGGGGTGGGAATAAATCTAGAAAGGAAAGCATGCTCGCGGACCTGAGAGCGAGTATCGTGCCGTGCATACTGTGTTAACTTTCGCATCCATGTAGTAATACAGAGCTCGAAAAAGAATCAAATAATGACATGTTCGTAGATCAAACAAATAAATTAATCGTGCATGAAACTCGTTTGAGTATCCGCCTTGTTCTCCTCATCCATTTGCTTCTAAGATGGCAAAATATCACCCGAGTGGAATTCAAACTATAGGACAAAACCGAGCGTGAAACTACATTATCATGCCGGAGGTGGTAGGCGGCTCTGCCGTCGCCCGCCTTACTACCACACCTGATCCCCTGAAGCCTTATCTCGTCCGCCACTGTAAGTTTCAGGATCATGGTTGTCGGTTCCATTCTCATAACATAAACATGAAAATATAAAATCATATACGCTCACGCTCTAGCTCGCTCTATGCACTCGTACCGTAAATACGCACTCATTACCCTCATCAACATTCGGGGATTGAAAGGCAATACTGAATCTGCACACTAATTTCTTCACTCTTCTCCTCTTGTCTTTTTTTTGACCGAAACACAAATCTTCCCCTCGTTAGACACCACCCACCTTCAAGTACCCAACTACACTTCTCCTCTTTTCTACCCAAAGCTGGCGTCTGTGCCTTTACTCATCAATGTCTCAAGGATCCCGAATGTTGACTTTTCCGATTGCGAATTTCAGCTGATGTGCCTGAAACTCCGATTTCCTTCTTTTGATCATTACTTGTATGCACTAAATAATAGAGACTCCTCCGTGTTTGACTTTTTTATCTTGGAACATTGAATACTTGTTTGCAACTGACCACAACTGCCATGTTATCATATTGGGAGATTTTAACTCATTCGTCTGCTATGTCTTCTTCGCTTTGGTCCACAACCTGAACCAACTGGTTGACTTCCCCACACGTGCCCTTGATCGAGCTGGTGATCGTGCCCACACCATCAACTTAATTCTCGCCCTGACCCCTTCTTTCTTCTCTCTAACTTTTCTTGGCTGATCGAATGGCTGCATTTTTTTGCTCCATTAAGTTAATCAGCTCCGATCCGTCACCTACCGCCAGACACATAATCTGGGGCGACAACTCAGCCAACTGGGACGGTTTGTATGACTTAATACCTTCTTATCCTTGAAACGACTGAGATATCTCGTTGGAGGTTTCTGAATCCATTCCCAACTTCACCGTTATGCATCCTATTCCGCACTTTTCCAAACCCGATAAACACAAAGCCCCAAGGGGTTTGACCATGCATGCGACCGTGTGGTACATCTTAAATGCTCGGTGTTCCGCCGCTCCCCCACTCCCGACTCCAACCAAAGCATCGTGCAACCAAGGACAACCATTNCCAAAGAATGCTTCGTTCGCCGTAAAGCCGAAAACTTCGTCCCGTCCGCCACCGGTACCCGAAAATTTTGATCCCTTCAAAAGCAATTTCCCGTAATTTCTGTCCTTCCAAATTTTGCCCTATCTGAGATTCCTATGGTGATCCTGTATGTCAACCACACGAGGAAGCTGAAATGTTTGCGTACCAGTTTGCCCCAACTCCACCTGCTTCCCATTTGACCAACAACCCTTTTTTTCTTATTATCACTAGGAAAATCCGACAAACATTGAGCATCTTTGCAATCTTTCCCTCAAACTTTCCACTTTTCCAGTCCTCGCAAGCACGCTGTAGTGTTTTCAATCCTCAAACGCGGCGATCTTTCTTACCTCAACAACTATCCGCTCATTTCCCTCATNATATTTGCTCTTACGAAAGTATTTGAAACCATCATATTCGACTAACTACGCACGTTCCTCCAAGGTGAAGGACTATAGAGCGACCGCCAGTATGGTTACCGACATGGTGTCTGTTTCCCTTCTTGGATTGCCCATAATTTCTTCTTTACGCTGACTCCCTTTTACAGCTCAAGTAACTTCAAGTGCTGCACACAACCATGGCATTTTATACCATGCTAGACGCATTTTCACCCCAGCTCATCTTTTTTCAATGAACAAAGCACAAATCCGTCTTGCTCTTCAATACTGCAGGCACGGGTAGGTTGGGGCCTTTTCTTCTTTTGCCCCTCTTGATCGTGTTCAATGAGAGACCATCTGGGTGATCTATGATTCTTCTGTAACATCGAATATGACGTCACTAACCCATCGTCCAACAGTTGTTTATTTGTCCCTGCTCTACCGTTACTACTTTGGTTCTTAAAAAATTGCCTTGCCAATTCCTGTTCCTGCAACTTTTACTGGATCACGCCGCACACAGGCATCGGGTTCAGTTCTTAGATATAGTACTCCTCTGCTCCAATCTTCTGTTTCTCGGANACTTACAATCGCACACTCTTTAAACACAGAATCAATAAACTGGATCTTACGTGGATGTTCTCTTAATCTCCCGTTTACAATATGCTATTTGTTTACGGGGATCTCCTATTTTACTGTAATTCAACTCCAATAAAAATGGAATACCGCAGAGGTAATCAATTCCACTAATGTAACAGACCAAGTGATTGTTCTTTAGGACTCGAGACCTTAGATTTGAACTATATCACTGTCAACGGACGCCGGTGGTAGATAGCTTCACTA